CAAAGTGCTGGGATTACATGCCTGAGCCACCACACCCAGCTCAGGGTCAGTCCTGGGACGGGCTCTGCTCTGTACCTGGGCTACCCATTGTGCCTGGCCTCTCTTGTTTTATTGATTTCTGGGAGTTACTTGAATATTCGAGGTCCCAGTCTCTTGTCCATTTTATGCAAATAACTACTCCCATTCTGTCACCTATTAATATTGTCTGTGGTAGGCCAGGCATGGTGGTTCATGCCTGTAATCCCAGCACTTTGGGAGGCCAAGGTGGGCAGATCACCTGAGGTTAGGAGTTTAAGACCAGCCTGGTCAACATGGTGAAACCCTGTCTTTACTAAAAATACAAAAATTAGCTGGCGGTGGTGGCACACGCCTGTAGTCCCAGATACTCAGGAGGCTGAGGCAGGAGAATCACTTGAACCTGGGAAGCCGAGATCGTGCCATTGCACTCCAGCCTGGGCAACAGAGCAAGACTTTGTCTCCAAAAAAAAAAAAAAAAAAATTGTGGTATTCTTCATTGAACAGGAACATTTCATTTTGATAGAATTAAATCCATTAATTTATTTCTCTTACAGATTATGTTTCTAAAGTTTAAGAAGCTCTTACCTAAACATGGTTCATAAAGATAGTCTCCTCCACTCTTGGTTTTGATTGTCCTTCCCAACAGACACCGAGTGATTTGGAGTCTGTCTTTGAATGTAACATTAGGCAGGATGCAGTTGGAGAACTGGTCTTCTCGATGACATCCTTTTAGTTTTTGTTTTTTTTTGAGTGGGTCTTGCTCTGCCGCCCAGCCTGGAGTGCAGTGGCACAATCTCAGCTCGCTGCAACCTCTGCCTCCCAGGTTCAAGTGAGTCTTGTGCCTCAGTCTCCAGAGTAGCTGGGATTATAGGTGCACACCATGACGCCTAGCTGACTTTTTGTATTTTTAGTAGAGACAGAGTATCACCATGTTGGCTGGGCTGGTCTTAAACTCCTGGCCTCAAGTGATCTGTCCGCCTTGGCCTCCCAAAGTGTTGGGATTACAGGCGTGAGCCACTGCACTCGGCCCCCATTGCCATCTACTAAATAGCTGGCCCTCTCCACATTGATTGATGGGAAAGTCTCTTGGATATATGAATAATTCCAACATTGTCCCTTCCAAATCTCATGTTGAGATGTAATCCCCAACACTGGAGGTGGGGCCTGGTGGGAAGTGTTGGGATCATGGAGGATCATGGCGGATTCCTCAGGGTTTGGTGCTGTCCTTGTGATATCGAGTTCTCACCAGATCCGGCTGTTTAAGGGTGTGGCACCTTGTTGCATTCTTGCTCCTGTTTTTGCGCCATGTGAGATGCCTGCTTCCACTATGCCTTCCGCCATGATTGAAACCTCCCTGAGGCCTCCCCTGTAGCCAAGCAGATGCTGGCACCATGCTTCCTGTACAGTCTATGGAACCATTAGCCAATTAAACCTCTATTTTTTTTTAAAATTAATTACCCAGTCTCAGGTATTCCTTTACAGTAACACAAGAATGACCTAATGCACCCTTCATGGTGCATTAAGATAGAATGGGGTCCTACACATGACTCCTGGGTTTCTATTCTGCTGCACTGGTCTATTATTCTGATCTTGCACCAATAGAGTTTTTTTTTTTTTTTTTGAGACACAGTCTCACTTTTTTACCCAGGTTGGAATGCAGTGGCATGATCTTGGCTCACTGCATCCTCCACTTCCTGGATTCCAGCGATTCTCCTGTCTCAGCCTCCCAGGTAGCCGGGATTACAGGCACCCGCCACCATGTCTGGCTAATTTTTGTATTTTTAGTAGAGACAGGTTTCACCATGTTGGCCAGGCTGGTCTTGAACTCCTGATCTCAAGTGATCCGCCTGCCTCAGCCTCCCAAAATGCTAGGATTGATTACAGGTGCATGCCGCCATGCCCAGTGCAACCAATAGAGTTTTTAAAATATTATGATGGCTTTAATGTCTGCTAAGGAAAGTTCCCTTTAACCCTTTTTTCTTTTCTTTTTTTTTTTTTTGAGGTCAGGATCTTGCTTTGTCACCTGGGCTGGAGTGCAGTGGTGTATTAGTCAGGGTTCTCTAGAGGGACAGAATAGTATATCTATGTATATAAAGGGGGAGTTTATTAAGGTTTATTAAGTATTAACTCATACAATCACAAGGTCCCACAACAGGACATCTGCAGGTTGAGGGGCAAGGAAGCCAGTCTGAGTCCCAAAACTGAAGAACTTGGAGCCCGATGTCTGAGGGCAGGAAGCATCCAGCACGGGAGAAAGATGTTGGCTGGGAGGCTAGGCCAGTCTAGTCTTTTCACATTTTTTTCTGTCTGCTTTATATTCTAACCATGCTGGCAGCTGATTAGATGGTGCCCACCCAGATTGAGGGTGAGTCTGCCTTTCCCAGTCCACTGACTCAAACGTTAATCTCCTTTGGCACCACCCTCACAGACACTCCCACGAATAATACTTTGCATCCTTCAATCCAGTCAAGTTGACACTCAGTATTAACCATTACAAGTGTGTGACCACAATCGCAACTCACTGCAACCTCTGCATCCCCAGCTCAAGCGGTCCTCCCACCTCAGCCTCCAGAATAGGTGGGACAACAGGCGTGTGCCACTATGCCTGGCTAATTTTTCTATATTTTTTAGAGATAGGGTTTCACTGGTCTCGAACTCCTGGACTCAAGTGATCTGCCCACCTTGACCTCCCAAAGTGCTGGGATTACAGGTGTGTCACCTTGCCCGGCTTACACCTGTTTCTTAAATTGGACTTAGATTTTTGTGACCTGTTATTCCACCCAGTAAATTTTAAAATAAACTGTACAGCTGCTTAAACAAATCCAGCCGGAAATTTGGTTGGGATTGCACTGAATTTATAAATGACTGTGATGTTCCCAGGATCCAGGGAGCTGGAACCTGAGCTTGGGTGAGAACTCTGACCTGCTGAGTCTCAGGCACTCTCAGTTGCCTGTTAGCCCTCACACACGCAGGGAGGAGGTAGGAACTGAGTAGGAGGCATTGCAAATGGTGCTTCAGGGTGCGAGTCAGGGTAACTGCAGGAGACAAGTAATAAGAAGATGAAGTGTCACATCTGCAGTGCTCACCTGGATTTTTTTGTTTTTTGCTACCATAGACCTGCTAGGTACAGTGAAGAAAAGCAAGAATGAGACTTTGATTTTCATATGCACCTGTCTACAGCCTCTTTTGTTTCCTGTTCAAGTTCACCTTGAGCAAACAGCCCAATTCACCATTCCATCTGCACCCTTTCAGACCACCTTTGGATGAATGGACCTGTGCATCCAGCTTTGACAAGGAGACATAGTGTTTTCTGCTTCCGCATCGGAGCGTGATCTTACACGTCAGAACGACTCAGGTGAGAAGAGTGAGTGGCAGGCGCCAGCCTCCTACCTTGATGTTCTGATGAATTGAGACCCCAGCTCATCCATCACTTCTTCAGCTGTCAGGAGAACTCCTATATCCGGAAGATCTCTTTTTCTTCTACAGTATTAGAGAGGCAAAAACAATCCTTGCACAGCATCTGGCGTTAGCTCTGAATCTACTAGGAAAACAGAACTGTGAAATGCAGTGTAAAGACGCATTCTGAGATAGAAAGACAAACAGATGCGTAAAGAGTGCTGGAAGGATGTGGGTGGAAGATGATGGTGGTCTCTTGACTATAAAGCTCAGAAAGGAGGCAGCTGCAGTGGCTCACACCTGTAATCCCAGCATTTTGGGAGGCCCAGGAAGGAGGATCGCTTGAGTCTAGGGGTTCAAGATTAGTCTGGGTAACACAGCCAGAACCCATCTCTTCAAAAAAATAGAAACATGGGCAGGCATGGTGGCTCATGCCTGTAATCCCAGCATTTTGGAAGGCCGAGGCAGGTGGATGATGAGATCAGGAGTTTGAGACCAGCCTGGCCAAGATGGTGAAACCCGTCTCTACTAAAAATACAAAAGTTAGCTGGGCATGGTGGCTGGCGCCTGTAATCCCAGCTATTCGGGAGGCTAAGGCAGAGAATTGCTTGAACCCAGGAGGTGGAGGTTGCAGTGAGCTGAGATGGCGCCATTGCACTCCAGCCTGGGCGACAGAGTGAGACTCTGTCTCAAAAAAAAAAAAAAAAAAAAAGAAAAGAAAAGAAAAAAAAACATTAGCTGGGTGTGGCGGTATGTGCCTGTAGTCCTAGCTACTTGGAAGGCTGGGGCAGGAGAATTGCTTGAGTCCAGGAGGTCGAGGCTGCTGTGAGCTAGGATTATGCCACTGCACTTCAGCCTGGGAGACAGCGCGAGACCCTGTCTCAAAACGAAAACCAAAGCCAAACCAAAATAAAAAGAGCTAAAATTAGCCAGGCATGATGACACGTGCCTGTAGTCTGAGTTGCTCAGGAAGCTGAGGCAGGAGGATTGCCTGAGCCTGGGAAGTCAAGGCTGCAGTGGGCTATGATTGTGCCACTGGACTCCAGCCTGGGCAACAGAGCAAGACCTTGTCTGTAACCATTTAGGGAAAAAAAAAAAAAAAAAAAAAAAAAAAGGCTCAGAAAGCATTTGGAGGTGGCAACTTTATTGAGAATCAGGCAGCTATAGAGTAGAAACATTAACAGGAACTAGCTTCCTATTTTAATGCTTCGCCACAGAAACAGTATAATCAGTGTGGAATAACAATACTGAACTATAGAATAAGTCAATAACACAGAATACAACACCGACCTATAGAGGTGCTGTAGAGATTTTGGGGCTGTTGGGAGGTGTTGACCTTTGAAGAATTAGAAAATGAGAGCAATGGGATTGTCTTTTTTTTCGTTTTCTTTTTGAGACAGGATCCTGCTGTCACTCAGGCTGGAGTGCAGTGGTGCAATCATGGCTCACTGCAGACTCACACTGCCAGGCTCAAGTGATCCTCCTGCCTCAGCCTCCCAAGTAGCTGTGACTACAGGTGTGCACCACCATGCCTGGCTAATTTTTTATTTATTTGTAAAGATGAGGGTCTTGCTATGTTGCCCAGGTTGGTCTTGAACTCCTGGTGATCCTCCCATCTCGGCCTCCCAAAGCGCTGGGATTACAGGTGTAAGCCACTGTCCCCTGCTGAGACTTCCTTTTGACAAAAGAGAGTATCACCCTCATGGGCTAGAGATGGGCTGGAGCAGAGAGAATCAAGGTCACCAGCAGGGCACCCCATTGCTCCAGGACGGCAGGATTGGAGGGTGTCTGACCTCTTCTGTCTGAGCACTTCTCAACCTGCAGTGGCATATCTTCTTGGGAGCTTCAGCTTGACCTGGCGGTAAAGTACATCAGAAGAGCATTTTTATTTATTTTTTTTTTCAGACAGAGTCTTGCTCTGTCACCCAGGCTGGAGTGCAATGGTGCAATCTTGGTTCACTGCAACCACCGCCTCCTGGGTTCAAGCGATTCTCCTGCCTCAGCCTCCCAAGTAGCTGGGATTACAGGCACATGCCACCACGCCCAGCTAATTTTTGTATTTTTAGTAGAGACGGGGTTTCACCATGTTGGCCTGGCTGGTCTTGAACTCCTGACCTCAGGCGATCTGCCTGTCTGGGCCTACCCAAAATGCTGGGCTTATAGGCGTGAGCCACAGAATAGCATTTTTATATACAAATACCTACACAGAGAACATAGATTAGAATGGACAGTTTCACTCGTTTTAAATAAGGTAGCACCCTCTGAAATTGTGCAGTGCACAGCTTGCACAACCATATATGAATGTAGACCATTGTCTACAAAGCCCATCATAATCTGGGCTTGCTTTCCAACTTCAATTCTACTTTCCTGGTACAATACGTTAATTTCTGTTTCTTCAAGAAGGCTATGTTTTCTCCTACCTCTGTGCCTCTGTGGTTAGAGTTATTAGTTCCATTTAACAAACAAGAAAAGTAAGGTTCCAAGAGGGTAAGTAACCTGCCCAAGTCTATATGTCTTGCTGGTCTCTAGAAGTGACCAGTGAGTTACAAACCTGCAATGTTCAAAAGTCAGAGTAGATGTCAGAATGTCCGTTACTCATCTATGATAAGAATCAAAATGGTCAGATCAGAAATATTTCTTTCTATCTGTTGTATCTCCTTGTATGAGAGGAAAGATACTATGGAATTGCATTGAGAAATCATTGAAGAAAGAACTGAAATTTCCCAAGGCCAGCATGAGCAGCATGTTCTCCCCATTATGCAGATCAGAAGGCAATGGGGCAAGCTCCAAATCTCAACAAGAGGTCTCATTGGGTCAAAGGTCCAGCAGCCATCCTGATGTTTCCATCCCGTGATGGAGATGCTCTTGCCAATGGGACCCAGACATGCTCGGCTACCATGACAAAACCATACACATCCATCTCCATACTAAGACCTTGAGGCCGGGCACGGTGGCTTATACCTGTAATCCTAGCACTTCGGGAAGCCAAGGTGGGCGGATCACCTGAGGTCAGGAATTCAAGACCAGCCTAGCTAACATGGCTAACATGGTGAAACCCTGTTTCTACTAAAAATACAAAAAACTAGCTGGGTATGGTGGTGCATGCCTGTAATCCCAGCTACTCTGAGGCAGAAGAATCACTTGAACCCAGGAGGCAGAGGTTGCCTTCTTACTACCTTATTTTTTAGACAATGTTGTATAAAATTGGTGTTAATTCTCCTTTAAATGCTTGGTAGTATTCTCTAGTGAAACTCTCTGGAGCTGGAGATTTCATTTTTGGACAGCTATTATTAATTTTAGATTTTTCCTCTTCTAATGGAAGTATTTAGTGTTAAAAATTCCCTTGCTGGACTGCTTTAACTGTATCTTGCATATTTTGCTATGTTTCATTCAGTTCTATTTTTTATTTCCTTTGAGACTTTCTCTTTGACACATGGATTATTTAGATGTATGTTATTTAATTTCCAAGTGTTCAGAGATTTTCCTGTTACCTTTCTATTATTAATTTCTAGTTTGAGCTCATTGTGGTTGGAGAACATACTTGGCATCATTTCAGCTCTTAAATTTGTTGAGGTTTGTTCTGTGACACAGGTCAGGATATGGCCTACTTAGTAGGTTCTCTATTTGTGTTTGAAAAATATGTGTATTCTGTTGTTGGGCAGAATGTTCTATACATGCCTATTAGATTCTATTGGTTGCTTGTATTGTTCATTTCTGCCATAATCTTGCTGATTTTCTATCTGTTGGTTCTGTCAATTGTTGAGAGTGTAGTTAGTGTTGAAGTTCCTGACTATAATGGTGTATTTATCTATTTTACCTTTCAGCTCTTTCAGCTTTTGCTTCAGGTATTTTGACACTTTGTTGTTTGGTGCATACACATTTAGGATCATTGTGTCTTCCTGGTGGATTTAAAAAAATAACTACATAAGGGCCCTTTTTGTCTTTAGTCATTTTGTTTTGAAGTGTACTTTATCTGACATTAGTGTAGCTACTCCTGCTTTTTAAATTAATATTTGCATGATATATATATATATATATATATATATTTTATCCTTTTACTTTCACTGTCTGTGTGTCATTGTATTTGGAGTAAATTTCTTGTTGACAGCATATCACTGGGTTGTGATTTTTTTTTGAGACAGGGTCTTGCTCTGTTGTCCAGGATGGAGTGCAGTGGCATGATATTGGCTCACTGCAACCACAGCCTTCTGGGCTCAAGCGATCCTCTCACCTCAGCCACCCGAGTAGCTGGCACTGCAGGTGCATGCCACCATGCCCTCCTAACTTTTTTTTTGTTATTTTTTATAGAGGCTAGGATTTGCCATGTTGCCAGGGTGGTCTCAAATTCCTAGGCTCAAGCAATTCGCCTGCCTCAGTCTTTCAAAGTGCTAGGATTACAGGCATGAGCCACCGTGCCTGACCTGGGTTGTGATTTAAAAAACAATCCACTCTGCTAATCTCTATCTTTTACTTGGCATACTTAAGCCATTTATATTTAAGGTAATTATTAATATGGTAGGGTTTAGGTCTGCCAATTTGTTATTTGTTTTTTATTGGTTTCTTCTGTTTCCTATTTCTCTGTGCCCCTTTTCTTGCCTACCTTTGGGCTACTTGAACATTTTAGAATTCCATCTTGATTTATTTATAGTGCTTTGAGTGTATTGCTTGGTATAGTTTCTTAGTGATTCCTCTAGGTATTACAGTATGTCAATGTAACTTACAGTCTATTGCTATCAATGTTTTACCACTTCAAGTGAAGTGCAAAAACTTATTTGTTTTTATTTTTATTATTATTTTTTTGTGATAGAGTCTTGCTCTGTTGCCCAGGCTAGAGTGCAGTGGCATGATCTTGGCTCACTCCAAACTCCACCTCCTGGGTTCAAGTGATTCTCCTGTCTCAGCCTCCCAAGTAGTTGGGATTACAGGCATGCACCACCATGTCCAGCTAATTTTTGTATTTTTAGAAGAGATGGGGTTTCACCATGTTGGCCAGGCTGGTCTTGAACTCCTGACCTCAAGTGATCTGCCCGCCTTGACCTCCCAAATGCTGGGATTATAGGCATGAGCCACTCTGCCTGCCCTTAATTGTTTTTTGTTTGTTTGTTTGAAGGGCATGTGTAACTGTTCGTTATAGCATTTTAATGATGGCATCTTTAAAATCAGACAGTTCCAACATCTGATTCAGATTAGTGTTGACAACTGTGGGTGATCTTTTCTTATTCTTGTGATTTTCCTGGTTCTTGGGATGATAAATAATTTATAAATTTTTATCCTGGAAATTTTGGCTGTTATATTAAGCAGCACTGGGTTCTATTTGAAATTTCTTTTGTTTTTTTTTTTTGAGACGGAGTCTTTGTCTGTCACCTAGGCTGGAGTGCAGTGATGCGATCTCGGCTCACTGCAGCCTCTGCCTCCTGGGTTCAAGTGATTCTTCTGCCTCAGTCTCCTGAGTAGCTGGGACTACAGGCAAGTGCCACCACACCCAGCTAATTTTTTTTGTCTTGTATTTTTAGTTGAGATGGGGTTTCACCATATTGGGCAGGCTCATCTCAAACTCCTGACTTCATGATCTGCCCGCCTTAGCCTCCCAAAGTGCTGGGATTACAGGCGTGAGCCACAGCGCCAGGTCTTGAACTTTCTATTTTAGCAGACAGTCAACCTGTTTAGATTCAGCCTACTTTGTGGCTACCTTGCCCAGTGACAATTTAGTTTTCAGAGCCCATGCTGTGCTGTTTTGGCCCACGTGGCTCATCTGGTGCTGCAGGGGCTCCCACTGATCTCTGCTGGTGCCACACATGGAAGTGGAAGGCACTTTACCTGGTTGGGTCACCTGGCACCTCTCTATGGGTAAAAGGGCTCTCTGGCACAGTGGGGATGAAGGGCACCCCCCCAGCTTGAGTCTTTTGTTGCTGACAGGCTCCCAACCCTGCTGGGGCCATTGGCACACAAGCTATCTTTATGTGAAGAATAGAGTGTTCAGGGACGGATGATAATTTCCCAGTCTTGATTGGACCATTTGGTATCATAAGTGGGAGAAAGGAGCCTCCACTGAGATAAAGAGCATGTCCCAGGCTGGGCAGTTTGTTGCAGGTGGGATCCCCCTGCTGGTGCTAGGGCAACCTGGTGGTGTTGGCAGGACTTTTTTTTTTTTTTTTGAGATGGAGTCTTGCTGTTTCGCCCAGGCTGGAATGCAGTGGCATGATCTTGGCTCAATGAAACCTCCACCTCCCAGGTTCAAGTGATTCTCCTGCCTTAGCCTTCAGAGTAGCTGGGATTATAGGCATTCACTACCATGCCTGGTGAATTTTTTTTTTTTTTATTTTTGGTAGAGACAGGGTTTCACCATGTTGGTCAGGCTGGTCTTGAACTCCTGACCTCAGGTGATCCACATACCTCAGCCTCCCAAAGTGCTGGGATTACCGGCGTTGGCCTCTGCGCCTAGCCAAGACTTCCTTTTGATCCAAGGGAGGAACGTGTCTACCTAGTCTGTCTTATGTTGTTAGGTTAGGGTTCAGGAGACATATCAGGTCTGGGTTGCCACCGGTCGCTGGGCGGGGCATTGTGAGATGTGGGGACACTCTCTTGTTCCTTCAGTCCTGAGATCCCTAGACAGTCTGCCTTCCTCTTTCCACTTTCTAGAGTCCACTTATAGACTACTGTTTTACGCCCAGGACTTACAGTTGTATTTTGTGGGAAGGAGAGGGAGAGTTGAGTCTACACCATCTTCTCCAAACTGCAAATCTCTTATTCTCAACTACTTAAAAAAAAATGTCTTAAGCCAGGAACAGTGGCCCATGCCTGTAATTCCAGCACTCTGGGAGGCCGAGGTGGGCTGATCGCTTGAGCCCAGGAGTT